GCAAAATGTTCCTTTAATATCTCCAGTTTTCTTGAACAGATCTCTGGTTTTTCCCTTTCTATCATTTTCCTCTATATCTTTGCACTGTTCATTTAAGAAGGCCCTCTTGTCTCTCCTTGCTATTCTTTGGAAGTCAGCATTCAGTTTTCTGTAACTTTCCCTATCTCCCTTGCATTTTGTTTCCCTTCTCTTCTCTGCTATTTGTAAGGCCTCGTTGGACAGCCACTTTGCTTTCTTGTATTTCCTTTTCTTTGGGATAGTTTTTGTTGCTGCCTCCTGTACAATGTTATGAGCCTTCATCCATAGTTCTTCAGGCACTCTGTCCACCAAATCTAGTTTCTTAAATCTGTTCTTCACTTCCACTGTGTATTCATAAGGGATTTGGTTTAGATTATACCTAACTAGCCCAGTGGTTTTTCCTATTTCTTCAGCTTAAGCTTGGGTTTTGCTATAAGAAGCTGATGGTCAGAGCCACAATCAGCTCCAGGTCTTGTTTTTGCTGACTGTATAGAGCTTCTCCATCTTTGGCTGCAGAGAATATAATCAATCTGATTTCGATGTTGCCTATCTGATGATGTCAATGTGTAGTCGCCTCTTGTGTTGTTGGAAAAGAGTGTTTGTGATGACCAGCTTGTTCTCTTGACAAAACCCTATTAGCCTTTGCCCTGGTTCATTTTGAACTCCAAGGCCAAACTAACCTGTTGTTCCTTTTATCTCTTGACTCCCTACTTTAGCATTCCAGTCTCCCATAATGACAAGAACACTTTCTTTGGTGTAAGTTCTATAAGGTGGTGTAAATCTTCATAGAATTGGTCAATTTCAGCCTTTTCAGCACCCGTGGTTGGTGCATGAACCTGGATTACTGTGATGTTGAAATATCTGCCTCGGATTCGTATTGAGATCATTCTATCATTTTTGAGATTGTATCCCAGTATAGCTTTTCCCACTCTTTTGTTGACTATGAGGGCTACTCCATTTCTTTTACAAGATCCTTGCCCACAATAGTAGAGATGATAATTGTCTGAACTGAATTCGCCCATTCCTGTCCATTTTAATTCACTGACACTCAGGATGTCAATGTTTCTTCTTGCCATCTCCTGTTTGACCACATCCAGCTTACTATTCCAATTTACAGGAAATGAATCCACAAGTTAATTTAACAGCTGCTTGCTCTGCTAAAATTCTCTACCGTTGGTTATCTGAGTTTAAACCCAATTCTGGTTCCATTTACTTATACAGTGGTGCCTCGCTTAACGATTGCTTCGTACAACGAAAAATTCACTTAACGATGGCTTTTTCGGAGTGATCTTGTGCTTCACTTAACGATTTTCCCTATGGGCAATTTTCGCTTAACGATTTTGGGACCATGCTTCACTTAACGATGACAGTTTTAGGTCCCCTTGTTTCGCTTAACGTTTTTTTTTACAGCCCCGTTTTTGCTATTTTTAAAATATTCTAAAATGTTTTAAAAATGTTTAAAAAATGTTTAAAATGCTTGGAATCGTTAGTGCACCTAATAAAATCTTCGTTAACTTAATTTGGCTTTGTTCTGAGTCTTCTTGTATTTTTTGTGAATTTTTTCCTATGGGGATTTTCACTTAAGGATGGTAATCCGTTCCAATTGGAACTGTACAGTGGTGCCTCGCTTAACGATTTTAATTG